GGGCGGCGACGGCGGTGGCGAGGACGGGGGCGGGCTCGGCGGCGGCGGTGAGGGAGGCGACGGCGGTGGCGTAGAAGGCGGGGGCAGTGACGGTGGCGGCGAGGGCGGCGGTGGCGAGGGGGGCGGCGGGGATGGTAGGGGCGGCGACGGCGGTGGCGAGGGCATACAGGTGTTAGCCGACATCGGCCGAGATTGAAGTGGCGAGCTGGCTGGCGGCCTGCAGCAGCCGGTAGCGCTTCGACGGCCTCCACGGACGCGCCTCAGGGAACGGCAACGGCCTGCCGATCGCGTAGGCGGGGCCGAAGATGCCGCCGAGGCCGCCTAACCAACCGAGCGGCTTGTCAACAGAGAAGACAGAGCGGGTGCGGCCAGCGACGCCGCCCCCGAGCCCGCCGGTGTTGCCGAGCGATGCATCGCTCCATCAGTTGGCCGATGGTTTACCTGTGTAAAGGTAAGGCACGAGGACACACCAATCCTCGCTACCCAACGCGGCCAAAGGATATCCACCTCGAGAACCTCTTACAGGACATCAATCCGCGAGCATCAGAAAAGAAACTACCGAGGCCGATCAACCGATCAAGCGGGAGGGAAGTGGACGGGGCCCTGAGCCGACCTAGCCGCCATATGGAATGGGGCGCCCAACACGAGCCGGATTACTGTGCCTTGCTTCCCCGGGCACAGCCTTTCGGTTCGTGAAGGGTCGGTGCGTGTCGTGACACCCGCACCATCTCCGTCGCTTGGTTCTACAACCTTTGCCAGGCCCACCACCGGGAGGCGGCCAGGGCTTCATAGACTCGGTATGTATGTAGGAAGGTGAAGAACAGTCAGGCTCGGACTGGACACCAACGCGGTATGGGTGGACGCAAGACAGATGATGACGACACGCACGAGCGACACACAGACACAAACAAGCTCACGAGACACACAGCCAGCGGGCTGCCACACATCCTGAGTGGGCGTACACATCACTCAGGCCACGTTCCCCCTGTCGCCCCCCCCAGCACTCCAAGGTGCCAAGAGACAAACAACAGCACAACAACACAGACAGGCGACAGGGGCGAACGTGTGAGACTAGAGCAGGCTTGCTCCGCCTCTGCAATCTCGTCGCCGGCCGCAAGGGGCACGGACGAGACCGTGTGTGGGGTCTTGTGAGGTGTCTATGGACGCCCTCCTCACAGGCTAGCGGCCAGCCGCCAGCCCTATCTCGCACTCATGGGTGACGACAGTTACTCGGTCGAGAGACCCCAGACAGATTGGCATCCATGCCTCTCTGGACAGGGTGGCCCGCCACAACGACCCCTGGAATTGCGACTCGCCGCTTTCCTCCCGCTGCGATTCTGTGTGAGCTCTGTGTCTTGACTTGCCGACAATATACCTACAAGAAAAGAAACTACTGCTACGGCCGTCCCGCCACTAGTTGCTTTTCCCGATCCGTCCACGCACCGGAGCAGTCGCCAAGCGAGCTCGGCCGAATTTCTCCTCGGTATGCACTTCAACCTGTTGGCAGCCCTTCTTGGCGTATGCAACGACCAGTCCGCGAGCTGCCACGAGTGGGCAAAGGCCGGCGAGTGCCAAAAGAGAGAGGCGCGGCACCTATGCCCCGTGTCCTGCAAGATGTGCAAGGGAGGCACAGCGAGCTGCCATGACCAGCACCAGGAGTGTATGGAGTGGATGAAGGCGGGCGACTGTACCAGTCAACCATACCAAATGCTGCGCAAGTGTCCAGTCAGCTGCGGCATCTGCTCACCCGTCTGCGAGGACGGTGAGCCCGAGAAGAAGCACCCTGCCCAGAAGAGGGGCGAAAGTCACTGCGATTTCCGTGCGAGGCTCGGTCACTGCGAAGGCAGCAACGCGGAGAGCATGATGCGCGACTGCCCCGTCGCGTGTAAGATCTGCAGGCTCAAGCCGGCCGACACGCTCGGTGACTGCGCCGCCAAGGCCGCTGACGGGGCTTGCCAGAAGGACGCGTTGAATTTGTTGCGTAGCTGCCCGCTCGCATGTGGGCTGAGGCGGCTCGACGGTGACAACCCGATGCCTGCCCCGGCCCCGTCCACCGCCCCCGCCGCCACCCCTGCCGCCGCGCGGAAGACTGTCAAAGGGCTCGAGGCCTTTTGCCACGATTTTGACCCGAATGCGTGTGGATCGTGGGCGGCGGCAGGGCAGGTGAGGCTCCCGGGACACTTTGGCTGCATACCAGCCTCACCTGCCACCGACCCTTGCGCGCCTGCGTCTGAATTCCCCCCCCCCCCCCCCTCTCAGTGCGAGAAGAATCCCGATTTTATGCTGCGCAGCTGCGGCGAGAGTTGCGGGCTCTCCTGCTCGCCCGTCTGCGAGGACCACGATAGCTCGTGCGCTACATGGTTTGCAAACGGGGAGTGCGACAAGAATCCAATCGGCATGCGCGTGTCGTGCCCACGCTCGTGCGGCATTTGCCATGGCCTGGCAGTTGCAAGCGCACAAGAGGTGCAAGGGAAAGGTCAACCTGCCCAGAGGCGGCACCCTGCCCAGAGGGTTGGCGAATCCGTCTGCGATTTCCGAGCGAGACTTGGGCACTGCGACGGGAGCCGTGCGGAGAGCATGATAAAGGACTGCCCCGGCGCATGCAAGGACGAGCTGTGACGCCTGTTTCGTGTTTGCACGACACTGCTGCGAGCCTTAGCCCTTGCCGTGCCACATCCGGAGTTGCTCGTGTCCGAGCATTGAGTCATGTAGCATACAGCACACAGTCTGCATAGAGAGCATCTGCACCATACAGACCCTCTCTGCACACACAGTGCAGTCTTGGGTGGGATTATGTATTCCGCATTGGCAAGCTGCATTGTGCATTCCGACGACTCTCTTCTTTTGGCCTTTTCCACATATAGTTACCTTGTTGAGTTTTTGCATCCTGCACACTCTCAGAACGTCCGACCCGCCGCCTTCACCGCCGCCTTCACGACACCTGCTCACTCCTCAAGCGCCCACGCCTCGATCTTGGGCAGCAGCTGGTTCGACAGGTCCTCTCCGTGGCCGAGGCAGCCGTACTCGCCCTTGCCCCACGTAAAGACGGCGCCGTTGGAGGTGAGGGCCAGGCTGTGCTGGTAACCAGCCGACACAGCGACGACGCACTGGCCAGCAAAGGCCTCGACCTTCACTTCGGCAGCAGCTGGTTCTGCTGGTCGCCGTGGCCCAGCCGGCCAGAGTCTCCATCGCCCCAGCTCCAGAGGGCGCCCTTGGCGGTGAGGGCGAGGCTGGCAGCGGTGCCAGCCGACACAGCGACGACCCGCTGGCCGGCCAAAGCCTCGACCTTCTTGGGCAGCAGCTGGTTCTGCTCGTCGCCGTGGCCCAGCCGGCCAAAGAGTCCATTGCCCCAGCTCCAGACGGCGCCGTCGGCGGTGATGGCGAGGCTGTGCAGGGTTCCAGCCGACACGGCGATGGCGCGCCGATCAGCCAACGCCTCGACCTTCTTGGGCAGCAGCTTCCACTGCTCCTCACCGTGGCCCAGACGGCCATCGCCTCCAGCGCCCCAGCTCCAGACGGCGCCGTCGGCGGTGAGGGCGAGGCTGTGGAAGGCTCCAGCCGACACAGCCGACGACGCGCTGGCTGGCAAAGGCCTCGATCTTCTTCAGCAGCAGCTGGTCCTGCCTGTCGCCGTGGCCCGCAAGGACTCCATAGCCCTAGCTCCAGACAGCGCCGTCGGCGGCGAGGGCGAGGCTGTGGTGGGCTCCAGACGACACGCTCACGGCACGCTCGTCGCCCAGCGGGGGGGAGGGGAGGAGAGTCGTCGTGTTGAGCCGCGTCACGCTCTCGCCGTGGCCGAGTAGCCCTGGGCTGAACCACGGCGCAGAGCCGCACGACGAGAGCCGCCCCTCGCCGTCGATAAAGACGCTGTGCTGAAGGCCCGCTGCCGCCCTCACCGGCGGGTTAGACTCGCACAGCAGCGCCGAATAGCACAGCCACCGCACGGCGCAGGTCTCGTCCTCGGGCTGCGCCGGCAGCTCGAAGCCGCGCTCTTGCGCCCACAAGCGGATGGCCTGCTCCGCGAGCGAGGCGTGAAAGAGAAGCGAGACGGCCGCGACGCGAGCGATGTCGAGGGGGCTATGGCAGCGAGAGAGGGCGCGTTCGATGAGGTCCGTGGGGAGGTCGAGGAGGCGGGCGGGCGGCGGCGTGACTGGCGAGGGCGCGGCTGTGGCGGCGGAGGCGAGGCGGCCGCGGTGGGTGGACATCGCCCAGCACATCGCGAAGAGAATCTTACCCGGGTACAACAAAACTCTCCACGGCGTGAGCGCACGCGAACAAAGGACGGAATATTTATTCGGCCGGAGCTGGGCCGCATAAATTGGGAGACGGACTGTGAAGGACGTCAGCAAGTTAGACGTTTCACTCTCCAGAATCGCGCGCACCGCGATGGTGCGCGCGTGTATCATGGCACCGCTCGCGCTCCTGCTGCTCAGAGAGCATGCCGAGTGCGAGCTGGGAGCGAGGATGGTCGGCACGAGCAGAGCGTCATGCATGGACGCGTGAGGCCTGCTCGACGACGAGTTGTGCTGGTTGTGGTGCACGCCAAAGCTGCTGGTTGAGGATCAGGCAGCGGCGACGAGGTGGTGCTGCCACGTCGGAACTGGCGACGCAGCTGCGCAAGGCGGCGCACGGGAGCGGGCCGGCCAGTGGCGGCAGTGGGCGAGCGAGTCAGAGCTTGCTGGACGCTGTGATGATCACTGATGGACCCTGCTGCGCCTTCTGCGCACTGCATCTGGCTAGGGCAGGAGCGGACTCAGCTAGAGCCTGATGGGGCAGGGGCTGAGGCCCAGGACCGATGGAAATATTGGAGCCGCATGGTCGGAATCGACAGTGGCAGTGGCGACAGCAGCGAGGTATCGATGGGATGCGAGGCTGAAAAGCGGGCGAGGTATCAATCGGATGCGAGGCTGAAAAGCGGCAGGGAGCATCCCATTGCGGCAGCCAGGGCGCAAGCTTCAGAGGCAATGGCGAAGGCTGAGGCCACACTGGGTTGGAGACCCAGCAGCCCGGCTGGAGGTGGAACTGCTTATGTGGGAGTTGCTCGCTGTGCTCATTTGGCGAAGGACGGGCAGCTGGAGCCGGGGGGACATCTCAAGGCGAGATTGCAAAGCCTCGGGCCAGTTGGTTACGGAGACACATAATCGGCTCGAGCGGAGGATTATGCGCCCATATGTGGGCAGGGAGGACGGGCCTCTTCGACAGTTCCGCAGATGAGGCGGTATGTGGTCGCACTTGCTGGTGAGCAGAGAGTGCGGAGGTGAGCTCTCATGGACTGCTGGTAAGCAGCGAGTGCGGAGAGGCGAGCTCTCACGAGCTGCCACTGGGCAGTGAGCGCAGAGATGGAACTCTCGCGAGCTGCTACGGAGCAGTGAGTGTGGAGGGCTGAGCTCTCACAAGCCGCGAAGGAGCGGGGAGGCGAGCTCTCACGAGCTGCCACTGGGCAGTGAGTGCAGAGACGGAACTCTCGCGATCTGCTACGGAGCAGTGAGTGTGGAGGGGTGAGCTCTCGCGATCTGCGATGGAGCAGTGAGCGCAGAGAGGCAAGGTGCGGCCGAGATGTCGCCGAGCCGCGGTGAGGCCGGAGGTGCGTCTGGGCAGTGGCTGGGGCGCGGCCGAGATTTGGCCGAGATTTGGCCGAGATTTGGCCGAGATGCGGCCGAGGTGCGGCCGAGTGGCCGAGGTGTGGCTGAGACACGCGGCCAGGATCGGGCCGGGTTATGGCCAAGGTGTCTAAGACACGCGGCTAGGATGCGGCCGAGGTGTTGCCGCAGAGTGGCCGAGGGGCTGCCGAGGGGCTGCCGAGGGGCGGCCGAGATGTGGCCGAGATGTGGCCGAGATGTGGCCGAGATGTGGCGAGCCCTCGTGATCTGCTTGGAGCAGTGAGCGTAGAGGGCGAGCCTTGGTGGTCTGCTATGGAGCAGTGAGAGGGTGAGCTCTCGTGACCTGCTAAGGAGCAGTGAGCGTGGAGGGCGAGCCTTGGTGGTCTGCTATGGAGCAGTGAGAGGGTGAGCTTTCGTAATCTGCTGCTAAGCAGTGAGCATGGAGGGCGAGCCCTGGTCTGCTATGGAGCAGTGAGAGGGTGAGCTCTCGTGATCTGTTGTGATGCAGTGAGCATAGAGGGCGAGCCTCGGTGGTCTGCTACGGAGCAGTGAGTCCTGAAGGCGAGTTCTCGTGATCTGCGGTGAAGCAGTGAGCGTGGAGGGCGAGCCTTTGTGATCTGCTGTGGAGCAGTGAGTGTAGAGGACGAGCTTTCGTAATCTGCTGCTAAGCAGTGACACAGTGGAGGGCGAGCTCTCGTAATCTGCAGGGGAGCAGTGAGCGGGGAGAGGTGAGCTCTGATCTGCTGTTGAGCAGTGAGTGCTGAGGTCTGCTGTGAGGCAGTGAGAGTGCTGAAGGCGACCTCTCGTGAACGTGAAGCAAAGAGTGCTGAGAGGGCGAGAGCTCTCGTGATCTGCCGTGAAGCAGCGTGAGCCGAGGGCGCGAGCTCTCGTGATCTGCTGTGTAGCAGTGAGTGTATAGGGAGGCGAGCTCTGATCTGCTGTGGGGCAGTGAGCTGGGAGGGCGAGCTCTCGTGATCTGCTGAGGAGAGCAGTGAGTGTAGGGGGCGAGCTCTCGCGTCCAGCTCTGGAGAGAGGTGAGCTCTCGTGACCCGTGCTGTAGAGCAGTGAGCGTGGAGGGCGAGAGCTCTCGTGACCTGCTGTGTGGAGCAGGGAGCGTAAAGGTGAGGCTCTCGTGTTACTCAGAACTCACTGCTCAGGGGAAAGTCGAGCGAGTAGCTCGAGGCTCGTACGAGGGGCGCGCTCTACAGTAGAGCGGCCCGTTGAGCCCTAGCAAGGTGCGGGGCGCGCTCTCGAGCGGGCGGCCGCTTGAATGTCTGAGTAGCAGGGCGCCTGGCGAAGGCGGCCAGCGCATGTATGGCGCGCCGGGGTGCCGCTCAGCACGGCGGAGTAGGGGGTCGCGCTCGATAGACTCGAGCAGCTGCCTCTGGTTTGCGTCGCGTGCCGCATACGGCGGCAAGTCGCAAGCAATAAAGCGCCCTGAGGGCACTGGAGAGGGTATCCGCGTGGCTGAGGGGCACGCTAGCGCGGCACGGTGAGCCCTAGCAAGGCGCGGGGCGCGCTCGAGCGGGCGGCCGCTATGAACTCTGAGCATGCCGAGACGAGGCATGCTCGTGTAAGAGGCGGCGAGGGGGCTGCGGCTGCAGGCGGCCGTCTCGCCAATGGCACGCCACGCGGGGCGTGCGGTGCGTATGGGGGAGACGCGGAGCGCCTCGCGAAGGCGGCGAGCGCATGTGAGACGCGCCGAGGGGCCGCTCAGCGCGGCGGAGTAGAGGTCGCGCTCGATAGACTCAAGCAGTTGCATCTGGTTTGCGTCGCGTGCCACACGGCGGCAAGTCGCGAGCAATAAAGCGCCCCGAGGGCGCTTGAGAGGGTGTCTGCGTGGCTGAGGGGCACGCTAGCGCGGCACGGTGAGCCCTAGCAAGGCGCGGGGCGCGCTCGAGCGGGCGGCCGCTATGAACTCTGAGCATGCCGAGACGAGGCATGCTCGTGTAAGAGGCGGCGAGGGGGCTGCGGCTGCAGGCGGCCGTCTCGCCAATGGCACGCCACGCGGGGCGTGCG